TCACCCCTTTATATCTTCACTGCACGAAGCCAGCTGAGCAATTGCTGGTCATTTGTCATCTCCAAGAGCTAGAAGCATGCTTATAGGAAAGGTAGGAAATCAGTCCGATAAGATGTTGGGCCCCTTTCAGACCCAGAGCCTGGGTGTTGTCCAGATTGCCTCAGAAGACTTTCACGCAGTTCTGCATAAATTATTCTGCACACCCCAGCACTAAACAAGCAGCACTTATGTAGCCAGATGGGACCATATAGTGGACTTCTACGACTGTTTTACCAGCTAGAAGACAAAAATTAAAATCTTATCTTCCAATTGCTTTAGTTGCTACGGACAGCTGGAGGGCCAGTATCCGACAGATGACAGAGGTATGAAATACATTGCCTTGGTTAGCAGAAACTGCTTACTTGCGCCCCCTCACTGCCGTGCAGCATCCCTGCACTTTGCCAGCAAACCTCCAGCAGGCTGCAGGGATCGCTGCGTGGCAGTCGTGAAGGAAAGCAAGGGAAAAGATTTACTTGGCAGGTGACCTTGGGTGTGGTTTCCATTGCTTCACATTCTGCAGGTGTGTCTACATCAGCATTTTAATTCAAATTAGAAACATGCTTTTGATGGCAATCTCCCAACTGCCTGCGCTCCCCACACCATGGTTCTCATTGTGAAACTGCCATGGTGCACACAAACTGCATGGCTTTTGGATTACATTAGAGTAAAAGCTGTGCTCTCCCGGAGTGCACCTAATGTGCTCCCACTTTTCTAGGTGTTCAGTCTATAGGGCCAGGCCATACCTAGTCGAAGTAATCCCCAAAACACACAGAACGTGGATGTCAAGTCCTTCATATCTATTTGTGCCTTACAGACCAATTGCTTTTGCACCACACTGCTTGTATGGTAGCTAACACAGTATCTGGAAGCTCCTGGTCTCTCTCCCCAGATAAGATACAGACAATGACAGATGTTCCATTTGAGGACAGCACATTGCATGGATTAATTCCTCCAGGTGATAAAGATCCTCAGCCCATTCTATTCAATTAAATGTATATGTCTGTAATTTAAAAAATAGATAAAGTCACTGGTAACAATATATTCCCTCATCATTCTATGGCCTGAATTCAGGTGAACATTATACAAAGCACAAAAACGCTGAGACAATCAGCTTCCCTCTTCTGATTGCCCACCACTTGCAAGCAGACTGAATCCTTGTTTTGCCAAGACTTTTGAGGGATGCACATCAACTTTTTGCTCAGTTTTGCCCTTTTTTATTGCCTAGGGAATGCATCTTGAAACTTTCATTTCGGCTGTTACCTGCACACAGAAGTGTATCTGCTTCCTACTAAACCAAATGATTAGGTGTGCAGAGCCACTCCCTCTAGTCATCTCCTTTAACTAAATCCACCAGTCACTGATCATAAAGCTCTTTTTTCTTTATTAGTCTTTTTAAAATATCACCACAGATAATAATTGCAGTGCTCTATCCATATCTTTCTGAGACACTCTGCATTAATACAGGTGTCCACATGGGTCAGCTCTTCTGGTAGGGCAGCTCTGCGGTCCTCAGGCCTTAAGTGTTCAGGAGGGGTCCGAACTTGCCACAGCGACAACCTGGAGGTGCTCCTAGGCTGGGATCACTGAGGAGTAGAGGTAAATTTAAGGTCAAAGTCAAAGGGGCTGAGGGAGTCACATGCCTTCAGTACCAAGTGGGCACTGAGATGGTATATTCAAAATTAGAGGCACATAATTTCCACAGTAGGTGCCTTCTCCCCTTTTTGTAGGTCTGCCTTTGAGACACTGAATCTTTGAAAGCTGTATGAAGAAAAATATCATTATCCTTGTTCAATTTGCTTTGCTAAAATTTCATGCATAATAGTTCCAGTCAGCTTTAAAAACCCTGCTTAAGCTCCACTGCAGTTCCCATTGCCAGAAAGCTCCAGTGGCTTGCTTAATTAAGTAAATCAGCCCTTACTTAATCTGGAAATAGGAGCTATATAAACAGCAGAAACTTAGAATTGTGATTAATATAGCAAATGTAATTCTGTGATGTAATTTAAATTATATATAAATCAAATCATAAATCTCTAAGGGATTCAGGAACCTTTACACTTCTTGTCAGCATTAATTTTGGTAGAAAGTAGAAAATATTTCTCTGGTATTTGATTACTTTTCAAACGGCAGGTCTGATGTGCTCTTCAGAAATCTGTCCCAGTCTGCTTTCTTCTAATACTCAACAATCCTTAAAAAGAAAAATGTATGCCTACATACACATTATTTATGTAACTGAAACGCTTTACAAAAAACATAATCTATTTCAATATTTATAGCTTTTTCCTAAAATGAACTAACGAAACAGTTGTATTCCTGTCATATACAACTACAATGACAGTAACTTATGAAAATATATTAAACTAAAAAATTATTCAAAATATGAACTTTGATTAATTTTTCATTGTATGTTGTGTACAAATGTGCCTCTCCAAAAATATTCCCGTGAAACTTACACTTCCCATGTACATCACGCAGTGAAAAACTGAGTTCCCTTTTCATAAAAGTGTAAGCTAAATATAGCTATCTATCTAAAGCAAAAAGTAATATAAAAATTGTTAAATTATGGACATTGCTTAATAAAGATTACTAATAGTAATGTTAGATGTCTGATGCAGAACAGCCTGGTGCTTGTACTCAACATGATCATAATAGAGGCCTGCAATCTCAGAGCCTTGAGACTGTGGGATCAGGTGTTGGGTTCATCTTATGGGTATGGCCCTACTATGCAACCATGATACTGTTATCCACTGCTAAGAATTTAAATTATCAATCTGGAGATTAAACTGATTGAAGGTGACTAAACCAGGAATTGTCAGGGGAGCAGCACATAGATGCTTCTGCTTCCTTGGAGCAGCAGTGATGAGCAAATATGGCCTGAATCACTTTCAGCTCTTGGGATATAAAATGAAGTGTCAGTGATCTTGCTCAGATATCACTTTCTTAGGTGTGGTAGAATCAAATTATCCTCCACCGTCATTATCAGCTAGATTTAGCTTTTTTTCTTCAGATGTCTTTAGATACAACTGAAGTTTTATGCAAGCACAAACAAACTTCTCTTAACTTCCAGTTGTAAAGCATTAATTGCAAATAAAGAAAGAACTGAAGCGGTTTGGGTAAATGAAATCCATCAGTCAGCTACATCAGGGTTGCGTGTGAAAACTTTTCATTCCTCTAGCATGTGATTGGCAGGCAGCTCCTAGACTTACTGTGGGAGGCATACCTGGTGAAGGACCTCCTCGGGGCACAGTCCTCCGCTCATCCAGACCGGCAGCTGTTCAGCACACGTGACGGAGCACACAGCACCAGCCAGCAGCATGTGCTCGCACACACACACACTAGATTTCCAGAAGGTGGACACCAAGACACAGAGGATGGGGAAAGCTGGTGCCTGCCTGGGGCTTGCGTCTGATGCTGCTGAGTTATGGTGGGTGCACAGCTGCAGATCAGGGGGCTGGGAAGCACGACTGAGGTCCATATTATAGATGTAGCCTGTGTTATGCTACGTTTGTACAGAATAGGAATGTGCAGAATAGGAAAGGTAACATGGCTGTAAGGTAAACTGAGACCACTGAAATGTTCGCATAACTCAGAGAAACTAGAATTTCCCCTGAAGCCTGCTTTCCTCTTCTCTTCCTTCTTTCTTGTCTCATCATGCTATTAGCTCCGACAGCAGCAGTCAGACAGCTGTCCAGGTCCCCACTCCTATGACACGAACAGTTTAGTACCTAGCAGAAGGCCTGAGGTCTTTCAAAAATTATTCATCATGCTATTAGCTCCGACAGCAGCAGTCAGACAGCTGTCCAGGTCCCCACTCCTATGACACGAACAGTTTAGTACCTAGCAGAAGGCCTGAGGTCTTTCAAAAATTATTTCAAACGAAGTAAAAAAAAAAAAAAAAAAAAAAAAAAAAAAGGAACATGTATCTGCTTCCCTATTTAAAACATTGAGGATTAAATTTTCTGATGAAAAACACAGAATCCTTTGATTCATTTTCTCTAGGACAAAAAAGAATATATAACACAAGCAGGGAGAGTGAAATACCCTTCCTATTCACCTGATTAATCATAGTGAAAAGTACAAGCTGGTGTCATCAGGAAGGGTGAGACAGTATTCAGGAATGAAAGACAACATGCAAAAAGTGCGGTACTGTGGAGTTCCCAGTGCCTCCAGACGAAGCAGTTCTCAACTAGGTAACCCTCAGAAGAAGCTATATAATGACTAGCTTGTTGCTGAGTTTGGAGTTTTTCTTTCCTTCCCGTGATTTTTATCCGTATTGTTTATTGTGGAAATGATGCCAGACCTCTGAAGAAACAAGACCTTATCTCTTCGGAAAATAAAAATCCATTAATCCTGCATAGCTGGCCCAATGGAGCGATCATTCGGGTAACACGGTCCCTGTCTGCCATCTGGTGGCACCGCAGGGTTTGCAGCTCTGTGTTTTCCTTTGTATTGCATAGCCTTTATTTGAAACCAAGCTATTGACTTTGTAGGTCTTAAACGCCTAAGTAGTTAAACTACGCATATGCATTGAGTGAAATTTGGCCTAACTGACAGTAGAGGTAAAACTCTTGTTGATTACAAGCTTTCTAGAGTGCACTAAGTGTACAAACTGCAACACTCTGTTATGGCACAAAGAAAAACAAATTCAAACTAAAGAATGTAAAACTGGATTCTCATTTCTAAAGAAACAATAAATTACACTTACACTGAAATAAATCTCTGAATTAATTTCAGAGGGTTGGTACTTATATATTCCTTGCGTCTGTATTATGATCTTGAATT